ACTGCATACACCCAACGACAACCAACAGTCAATTTACCCGAAGGAAGAGGAACAAGCTCCTAAGTGCCACTCATATGTAAAGCAGACATCTTGTCAATCATAGCCTGTCGCCATCCGGGATGAGGCAGTGCTTCACCTGTAGACTTAGGGATGGAAACAGAGGACAAAGATGACACAAATGCACAATGGGATGATGAGAGACGATGGTAACTTAAACCGATATAATGAGGATTAGGATTAAGCGTGGACCGTATAACTTTTCGTAGTGCAATCGGTTGATTAAGAGGAGACAAGTCCGCAATATTATCAGGGTCAGGTGCAGGACGTGAATCAGCTGGGCCTGATGCTGGGGGCGGACGACGATGATAAGTCAAGAGTGGTGGAGCTGTAGAAGGTTGAACTGGACTAGGTGGTGGCACTGGAGCTATAGTTGGTGGAACTGGACTAGGTGGTGGCACTGGAGCTATAGTTGGTGGAACTGGACTAGGTGGTGGCACTGGAGCTATAGTTGGTAGAACTGGACTAGGTGGTGGCACTGGAGCTATAGTTGGTAGAACTGGACTAGGTGGTAGCACTGGACTCGGTGGTGACACTGGAGCTATAGGTGGTGGAGCTGCAACTGGAACTGTAGGTGGTGGAGCTATGGAGGAAGATGAATGGGCGATCGGGACTGAATCTCCAAAAGAAGGAACGGGTGGCACCTCAGAAATATCTAAGTGATTAATTGGACCTGTGAAGTATGATTGGGTTTCAAAGAAGGTAACATCAGCAGACATAAGAAATCGCTGAAGGTCAGGAGAATAACATCGATATCCCTTTTGCGTTCTTGAGTAACCCAGAAATATGCACTTAAGAGCATGAGGAGCTAACTTATCTTTTCTTGGAGTAAGGTCATGAACAAAGCACGTACTCCCAAAGACACGGGGTGGAAGAGAGAACAAAGGTAAGTGGGGAAACAGGACAGAGAATGGAACTTGATTTTGGATAGCTGAAGATGGCATACGATTAATAAGATAACAAGATGTAAGAACTGCATCCCCCCAAAACCGCAACGGAACATGAGATTGTATGAGTAGGGTAGGAGCAGTTTCAATAAGATGTCTATTCTTTCTTTCAGCTACCCCATTTTGTTGGGATGTGTACGGACAAGATGTTTGATGAATAATCCCATGGGAGTTCATAAACTGCTGAAATGGGGAAGACAAATACTCTAGGGTATTATCACTACGAAATGTGCGGATAGAAACCCTAAATTGATTTTGAATTTTAGCGTGGAAGGTCTGGAAAATAGAAAACAACTCAGATCGATTTTTCATAAAAAGTATCCAAGTGCACCTGGAATAATCATCAATGAAACTGACAAAGTAGCGGAATCCTAAGGTAGAACTAACCCGACTAGGACCCCAAACATCTGAATGGACTAAAGTAAAAGGTGATTCTGCTCGATTATCAAGACGCCGCGGGAAATGGGAGCGGGTATGCTTACCGAGCTGACACGACTCACACTCTAAAGTGGACAAGTGAGATAAGCCAGGTACCATTTTCTGAAGTTTTGACAAACTGGGGTGTCCTAACCGTTTATGTAATAAATCTGGTGAATCAGTAACAGGAGAAGTTATTGGAAGACAAGATGCGAATCCATGTGATTTTGCAAGGATAAGGTAATAAAGTCCGTCTGATTCATGTTCGGTACCAATGATCCGTCCTGTACTGCGTTCTTGTATAAAAACAAGTTCATCAAGAAATAAAACAGCAGATTTAAGTGATTTGGCTAAGCGACTAACGGCTATGAGATTAATAGGACTACCAGGACATAAAGAACTGAGTCTAAAGGTAAGGAAGGAAGTGGACTTGCTTGACCTATTGCAGTTGCCATGGCTTGAGACCCATTGGCCATTGTGACTGTTGGAAGAGATTGAGAATATGAGATACTAGTGAAAAGAGATTTGTTACCAGAAATATGATCAGATGCACCTGAATCAATGACCCAAGACTCAGAAGGTGAAGATTGGGAGACACAAGTCATGCTACTATTTGTTGGAACAACGGAGGCTAATCCTGAAGATGTCTGTTTACGTGCTTTGTACTGAAGGAACTCAATATAATCCGGTAAAAAAACCATCTGGATTGGATTCAATGCATTGGATCCAACTGATTGTGAGTTAAAGGCTTCCGAGACGAATGCCATTATAATATCGTGCCGGAAAAAGCAGAAATTTTCTCGGGATCACTGTTCACGCCGGAAAAATCACTGTAGCTCACCGGAAAATTCCAAAGTTGTCGGAATCTGTCGGAAATAGTACCAACGGACTCGGAATTGCAAGGAGATACACTGTCCAAAAGAAGCATTTCAAAATTCTGGCCGGAAACCCTCACGCGCCGGCGCGTAGGACAGACGCGCGGCCGGCTGCAGATCTCCGGCAGGCGCGTGGGGGCGCGTGGATGGTCTTTTTCAGGTGACTTTTTCTGGGGTTTGGTCGCCTAGCTCTTGGGAACCTTTTGGTGTTGTTGGATGTCGCACAACACTGATAATTAATGACTTTGACGCAAATAGTCACTTAGGTCACCGGAAAATTGCACGGTGACTGAGTTCTTTCTTCCCGGATGTCGTTGGAATGACGACAACGATCTCTTCTCACCGATGCTCTGATACCATGTGAGAATGCACGGGAGAAAATATATTATTGATTAATTGACAATGATAGAATGAGCCCTATATATATAATACATGACCTACTCCTAATACATATGGGATTAGGGTTATTTACTACTATTTAACTATCAAACTAACACTAAGAATAGGAAATACGAGAATACACTAGTACGACAGGTATAGAAAAGCAATACGGGTACGAAAAATATTTATGCTCGACTACTTATTAACCTATTACCCTAATCCTCAATCTCCACACCTTCCTATCGAGAGTCATGTCCTCGGTAAGCTGAAGATGTGCCACGTACTTCTTCGGCCTACCTCTACCTCTTCTTCGCCACCATAGCTAACCTCTCACCCCTCCTCACTGGGGCATTTGTGCATCTCCTCTTCACATGTTCGAACCATCTCAATGCATCTTGTCCACCACGGACCACTCACACCTCTCACTTTCTCTTTTCATCTCACACATAATCTGCATGCCAGTTTTATTATGCTTGTGGTTTCTGCTTATGTCGCTTTTCTGTTGCATTATGACTGCTGGGTAAAAAGGTGTATGGTAGGAGGTGAAGTAAAAGAAGGATGACTGTCATTCACCTTTAATCCTCTCTTCTTCCGTTTCTATTTTTCGTTGGGTGATAAGCATCCACTTTTAATCCTTCTCATGTCATTAGGAAATGAAATTGGAGGGGGTTTTGCCCATAATTCAGTTTTTTATCTAAAAGAACTTGTGGAAATCAGGCGAATCTCTTCAAGTCTCTCCTAGTCTATGTATGTGTGTGTGTATCTTCTCCACTTGTGCCACATAGATGTTTATCATCTTGAACTTTTCTTTTTCTCCAAATTTTTGTCCAGAAAGGAGCAATGACCCCAATGGAAGTGTGTGAAGGCCTTGGTCTTTATGATCTAAAAAACCGAAAATGGCATATTCAAGGCACATGTGCTCTTCGTGGGGATGGCCTATATGAGGGACTGGACTGGTTATCGAGTACTCTGAAAGATCTCAAGGCCGCTGGGTACTCTTCAGTGGGCACTTCATCCTTCTGATTGATCAGGTCTGCACTTAGCCTGGATGTCTTCAAGAGTGTTGCTGGCATCCATAACCTGCTAATCTAACTTTCATATGCTTTTGCAGGCTTACAAAAGAAGAACCCCCCTTTTGAGGGACAAAACTGAATACCCTGTCGTCTGTAAATTGAAACGCCTGAACTCTCATTGACAATCTTTACTTTTGGGTCTGTGCTTCTGATGCAGTGGAGTACAATAGGCACTTGATTCCTGGCCTAGGTGAAGCTTGATTTTGGTTCTGTTGTATGCGGAAATATGGACCTTGCAATTGGTCTTTCCCGTACACTAGAAATGTATCTGTTGATGCCTACCTTTTGTATTTTCAGTATGTATACTTCCACATGAAATGAGTGATTACTGATCTTCCTTACAAGCATGCCAAATTTATCCACCCTGCTCCCTAAAAAATTTGTGCCTTTAGATGTATCATTCTAGTTCTTGCTTCTCGTGTGTGTTGTTGACTAGTTTATCCATTCATAATTTATCTATGAATGTCCTTTTGTCATCCTGTTATGCTTTCATAAAAGTCTCATGTGCTGAAGTCAACATTTCTCAATTAAGCAGAGATAACACTTTAAAGTTTATGGGTTCAGAACTAAACACATGGCTCGTCTTAGTTGCTTATTTCACAATTAAATGTTTATATTTGATGAATTTCCTAATCTAGCTCTTGCTTAAGTTGTTTTGGCGGAATATATTTTATGAAAGGACCACCTGAAGGGCGTTTAAGTCTTCGACGCTAGGTGACGGCTGGAAGCGCTTTAACTATGGATAAACATGTTAATGATGTATTTTCATTATTAAAATGAAACTTATTTGACATGGTTTTCAACTTATTTGACATGGTTCTTTTCTATGCTTTTCGCCTTTGGCGATGAGTTTATTGAACCTTGTCGAGAGTTTGTTTTAGGATTGCATTTGTTATGATTTTCATCTTCTCTGCTTCATGTGATTATGGGTGACGGTTTTACTAGACGAGTTTGAGAAGTGCGTAAAAAAAAAGTTTCCAGCAATGTCACACCCACATTTAGTTTCTTTGATTTCTGCCGACCCTTTACTGGATATATAATCTGTCAAAAGTAACGGATATGCCAAGTGTTTAACTCATCTGGAGAAACAACTTATCAAGTTTGAATACGGGATCCAATCTTCCTTCAAAGAAAGATTGCAACCGTTAGAGGGTGCACTTTAAGTTATTTCACCTCCTTCACGCTAGTTTCATAGATATTTTGCTGGTTATGATCAATCATAAGTAGTTGAAGATTGACAAAGAGCAATATGTATGAATAGTTTTACTTTCCATTTATATAAGTTTGAAAAACTCTAGGAATACAAAAACAAGAGCGATCAAAATTTTGATATATCTCTGGAGTAGCAAACCAAGAAGGTTTGCAAGGCTGATCCAACATCGCGCTCAAAGTTCATTCACTGGCAGGTGGAGTGGTCTGCCTTTTATAAACGTTTAATTTTCAGTGTCACTGATCAAACAATTTTCTGGAAGTGTTTGCAAGGCTGATCTCGAGCTTGGCGCCTGTGAATGAAAAAAACACTTTAATTGTCTTCACATTTGAACATCAACAACCAAAAGTAAGAAAGGAACACACAAATTAAAAAGAATATCACTTGATGTTGTTCTTACCTTGATTTTAGCAACCTCCTTTCCACTAGGATCTTTTGTGACGCTCTTTCAACATCTTTGTAAGCTGCCTCAAGCTTAAATCTTGCAAAGATTGCTTACTTTCATTACCAGCAATGCCTTTGTAGACTGGTTCTGGGATAGCATTAGGTATGAGAGAAGCTTGGGGAGCAAGAGCATGAGCAGCAATATCCACTTTAACCGCAGCATGATCAATTTCAGATTCTTCCATAGGTTCTTCTCCAGCAACTACTTCTGAAACATGTAACATCTTTGTAAGCTTCCTCAAGCTTAAATCTTGCAAAGATTGCTTACTGTCATTACCAGCAATGCCTTTGTAGACTGGTTCCGGGATAGCATTAGGTATGAGAGAAGCTTGGGGAGGAAGAGCATGAGCAGCAATATCCACTTTAATCGCAGCATGATCAATTTCAGATTCTTCCATAGGTTCTTCTCCAGCAACTACTTCTGAAACATGTAAACACTGCTGACTTCCTCTCACCTTAACCTCGCACTCACCTTCCTGGGCAGCATCATCAGGTATGAGAGAAGCCAAGTGTGGAACACCATGAGCTGCATTATCCACATTAGCCTCAGCATAATCAACTTCAGATTCTTCCATGGGTTCTTCTTCTTCTGCAACTTCCAGACCATGAGCTGCACTATCCACATTAGCTTCAGCATGATCAACTTCATATTCTTCCATGGGTTCTTCTTCTCCAGCATCTTCCATGTTAGCTTCGGAAGCATCTTTCAAACACTGCTGACTTCCACTCACCTTAGCCTCCCCCTCACCGTTGAATTGCCCCAACGAACTCACGTCATGGAAATCTATGTTAGAGTCTCGATTGACACTTGCAGGTTCTCCCATCAACTTTTGCCCTCCTGCAATATCAGTATGATTTAAGTGATCTTCCTCCTCCCGATCATTTTCTGCCACAAAGTCAGATGTATCATCACAATGGGGCTTGTCCTCTTCATGCGGCTGCTTCATCAGGATCATATTAGTGATATCGGAACTTCTCTTGGTATCTTCACCCAAGTTCTGGCTTTTGTTCTGAAAATCTTTTTCAGTTTTAGCCTGAGCTTGATCAATTTCAGATTCTTCCATGGATTCTTCACCAAAAACTTCTAGTTTAGCTCCTGAAACATCATTCAAAGACTGCATTCCTTCAGATGCCATTTCTTTTCCATTCTCAAGTTCCTCTGTTTTTGACATATGCACATCTTCAGATCCGAGAAACAATTTTGTTTAATTATCACACAGCACGAAACAACTCACTGTACTAAGTAAAATAAGATTGTCTATACAACAGAGATGGTGATAAGACAATTGATACAAAAAGTAGACAGAAGAAGAATATATACCATTTTCTTGAATCTTTCTACCAATTGAGCAGTATACATAAGCAATCAAAATAAATAGACAACAAAACCATTTAATTCATATAAATAGTAATGCAGAAGACTGGAGCAAACAACAACATACACTGAGAACAGAGCAATACATACCATTGTTGTTGTGACCAAGTGGTACTTCCTCTGAGCCTTCTTCTGCTTTTGTATCTAACACAACAACCAGGTTATTGTTACTTTCTTGTTGAAGAACATCTTCAGTTTCTATTTCATTTTGTACCAAGGTATTTGAACATTGACCTGATACAATATCTGATTCATTATTGATCTCCAAACTTTCTAACGTTTTCAATTCAATACATGTACTGTAGTTGTTAGTCAGAACTCAGCCACCAAGTAATGTTCAGGAAAAGAAAAAGGTCAAGGATTACTTGTGCTTGCGGACATTACCATTTTTGTCTACTTCTTCATTCTTGTGAATAAAATACTGCTCAGAATCCACCTCCAAATTTTCCTCAGTTTCTTCAGGAAAAGCATCAAATGTAAGGGTTCCTGACATTTCATTCTCTTGTGTGCTCTCCTGCATTGGTTTCCCAGCTATCCTTGCTGATCGACGAGTACTGTACACTTGCCTAACTGAACTTGCCTTCAATTCTTTTCTTTGGCTAGTTAGAACTGCTGGTGTCTTTGGCACATCTTTCATTTCTCCCTGAATCCGATCCCCAATTTTTTCTTTTGGTTCACATTCCTTCATTGCGGATTCCAATTTAGCGCGAACTGCAGTTGCTGCAGCCCTTCTTCTGGTAGTCGGCAATGCAGGAGTCTCATGCATGTCATTCTTGGCTTCATCTACGTCTCTGACCACCTTTCCTCTCGTTCTGCAGCGACTCCTAGTCAAGGTCTGCAAAGTTTCTAAGTCATGTTTGATTGCTTTTTGTTGTGTAGCTCGATGACAAGTCCGAGGTACACTTGTTACTATTTCTGACTTCCCAGGAGACTCCATGGATGAGTTTGCAGTTTCAGATTCACATGAGCTCAAGATTTCTTCAATACCATCAACCTTTACACAAAAACAATACTAAATTTCCTTTCTATTGTACAATGTCAACATACAACTACATAAACATGTTATAAGCAGCTATAGGTATCAAACTGTGGAAGTACTAATCATGCACAACTTAGGCAATAATTTTGGGAATATATAATCATAATTAAAATAGTTTATGTTTTGGGGCATGGAGAAGAGTAGATTTAGCCAAACTGCTCCACAGGGTCAGACCTAACTGATAAGTTAAGGGTTCATCTGAACCCATTAGCTTTAGCTCAAACCTTAAGGTATTTAAGCCATCCACTAAATACGATGTACAATTAATAGATTGCGAACCAAGCAAATCAAATGGGTTGTGGTAGAATTTTGAACTCGAGCTCATAAATTCAACTCCTGAATCCGCCTCTGCTGCTCCAATAGAGAGTTGCACAAAACACTTAAGAACCAACCTCAGGCCTTAATCCTTTCCAATATCGTAACTTAACAGTCATTGGTGTTGCACACATATGCAAATATTGAAAAAAAATGTTTCCAATAGTTTAAGCTTTTAGATTAGGGGTTCGCAAAATCCAACAAACATGAAGGAGTGTTAATATAGAAATTAGATATAACAAATCATTTGCAGATTAAATAAATAAATATAAATTAACTTTAAAAGCAATAATTAATCCCAAAATTATTCAATCAACATACTGGAGCTTCCTAACAATCTCAGATTCAATCTAACATCAAGGGTTAAAGCCGCAAAATGTAAGCTGGAAATAAAAATCATTTTGCAGATTAAAAGAGATACTACTAATATTCCTTTCAGCTCATTCAGAAATGAAACTGAAATGCTGCCTATCCAATTTACATTTTAAAACAAATCAAACAATTCAGAGTACAGGAAATATAGCTTTTTAATTGAAAGAAGAAACATACAAACTCGAGGGACTGAAGAGCGTCGGCCATGGCGACATTGGTGAGGTTAGCTGGGATTTTGTTCTTCTTGCAAAGAGCTTGTAGTGCTCTCCTTGTAAGGCTGTGGAAATCCATCTCTCTCCTTGAAATGAAACTGGAACTCGTCCCAATGAAATACTTGTGTTGGGGTTTGGGGGGGGGGGGGAGGGAGGGGGGTTGTACTGATGGCAGTAGGGATGAGAGTGACGAGAAAAAGGAGGGGTATATATATGTATTACTTGTTTAGGTGCAGAGAAGGAAGGAACCCTTGTGAATATGAACGTTGGAGCGTGCATTCAAAATTTTGAACCTTGGGCTGCGCCGAGAGAGACTTTGTAAACCCTAAGCATGGGAATTGGGCTATAAGCTGCTGATCTTCAAATATTGTCCTCCTTTTTAAAAGTATTTAAAAAAGGGAAAATGGTATTTGAAAATACCATCTATGTCCATTTATAAGTAACTTATTTAAGTGGTGTTTGGACATAAGAATTGTGAAATTCCAAAAAAAGTAAAAAATAAAAAACTCAAGTAAAAATGGTATTTGAAAATTACTTTTGTGTTTGGACATAAATATAATTTTGGGTTATTTTTAAAGTTTTGTGAGTGATCTGAATGAAAATTTGAAAAGAGCTTTTTGGAGTATTTCAAAATTTTAAAAAATTCCAAAATTCATCTTCAAGTGAAAATTGGAAATTTTATGGCCAAACACCGATTTCGAAGAAAAGTGATTTTTTTTTGAAAAAAAGTGAAAAAAATCTTATGTCCAAACGAGCTCTAAAATTGGCCAATTCATAAAATATTACTAATATTAGCCAAATATTACCAATATTAGCTAATTAGCTATTTGTAGCCAAAAAAGGTCAAATTTTTGCTATCTTTTGAGTGTGTATTATTAAAATAGATTGAGTAAATTTCAAGGATCTTGAATCTCAATTTTGAGATGATTTAGTGGAGTTTTGAAGTGGTTTGAATTGAAAATTCGAAATAGAAGATAAACATGAAAAAAATAATAGGTGTATCACATATGTATCATATTTGTATCAAATGTGTATCACATGTATATCAATGTATACCTGCGTGCTAGATACATGCGTGATACATATTTGATACAAGTGTTGCAGAAGAATTTTTTGAACTCGATTTT